AGAAGTTTGATGACATCTTAATACAAAATAAAAAATACAAGCCCATTTGTGGGAAAGAAAACTCTGGTTCAAGAAAAGACACTGAACAATACCTATCCAGTGTTTTTAAAATGCGGATGCGGTTCAATGCAGCCCGGATGCGGGTGCATCGCAATGATGCGGTCAATAAACGTAAAAATATTCTAAAAAGTCTACAAAAATAAGTTAATGCATAGAAAAAAATATGAAGGTGATATATGTGATAGTAGGTATTTTAGTATAATGATTAACTTCAAAACTATTAGCTGTCGGAGATTCTGTATCCAGTTATCCACTATCCCGTGATAGAAACTAGAAACTTGAAACCAACTTCATAAAGCATTCAACAATCAACAACCATAAGTACAAATTTGCACCATAAGCACAACCATCAACAACCATAAGTACAACCATAAGCACAAAATAGTGATATTACAAAATACAAACCAAACGTCAAGCCCAAGAAGAGTTAATAGTTAATAACTTAATACAATCATCCATTTTGAGAGTCAATTTTGAAATTTGAACTTCATTTTTTCAAATATCAATCAAACAAGTCATCTTGAGAGTCGTCATGCGCATCATTAATATCATCCTCGACGGCCTCCATGTATTCTTCTTCATCGGTCTCCTCTGAGTCAGCTTCCTCCTTGACCTTTGAAGCTAATGTGCGAGTGCGACTAGACCCAGCAGCTCCTCTACTCCGCTATGCTCTAGTGTTAGGTCGATCTTCTTCATTAACCCCTGTTGCTAGCTCGACATCAAGCCATGTAAGATCCTCACCCTCAAACACACGCTCTTGTCTTGGATCCACGGTCCACTCACTAATGGAATCACCATCAGCTTCATATAATTGAATAGGGTTGAGCTTCGTGCGATTGTCATACCTCTCCCGAAGCCGCTCGTTATACCGCACATAAACCAAATCATTCAACTTTTTCTGCTCCAACCTATTTCTTTTTTTTGTATGGGGCTGTGGTAGAAATTTGAAATCAGATAAATTAGATTAGAAAATTGAAATTCAAGAAATAAGGATTAAGGAATAAGGAGTAAAGGACTTACATGCTCAAATGTACTCCAATTGTGCTCACAACCAGATGAGCTACATGTGAGATTCAACACTCGAATAGCGAAACATTATAGATTTGGTGTCTCGCTTCCATATAATGCCCGCTATGCAGCTGAATAATATTTTATAATTTAGAATATAGTTAAAAATTAAGGGTATAAAATAAACAATAAAACTATGCATAAAGTAAGAGACAGTAAGATTATTTTTAGGCTTTTGGCCTTTACCTGGATCTGTAGTGTCCCTATTCGAGTGGTAATATCTCTCCCAAAGTTTCTCAAGGCTAACTTGAACTTAATCAATTCATGGCTCTGGATCTCATCCTGGATATCTTTGTCTGGCACCAACCTCTCCAGCACCTCTAAGAACCCACCATTTATTACACGATCTGACTCAATGGATGGGTGCTTGTAGTGAAGAGATGGGTTTAGAAAATAACCGATTGAATGGAGGTGCCTGTGAAGCTGGGTATCCCATCTCCTATCAATAATTTCAAGCATAGCCTTACGCATATTTTCATTATCCTTTAAAACATCTTTTATTTCAGTTCTTGCCCTAGTCATTGCCTCATGTA